TCCGGTCACAGATACCATCTCACCTTAAGCTACTTACACCGTGGATCTCCGTGGTGGCTAGCTTTTAAGATATTTATCAATGATGGAACAGGTATTATCTGCTAATGTTCCATCAGAGATAGGTACACGTTTTACACGCGTGTTTGAACAAAGTTTACTGTTTCGTTCGTGAATAACGAACGTTGTTACACGAGTTGGGCACGCGAACTGGGTGCGCGGTATCGCGAACAACTGGTGTCAAAATTAATTTGTCCCGGCTACTGTAGATCGAGACGTCGCGATATTTATGATCGAGCAATCTTTTGTAAATTTTTTATTTTTTTATTTTTTTTTTTTTTACTATCAAATTTTGGCGAGTATATCAGTTTATAATAGATAGTAATTTGTTACAAGTAACAAATTAAAAGTCGATAAATTTTTTTCTAAATTTTCTACTTTTTTTTCTACTGTTTATTCGATAATGTTAATTTTATTCCATGATATTTGGATAAAATCGCGTTAATGAAGCGATGAATACGTATTCGAAGGAATAGTAGAACGAAGCATACATATTAATCTTCTTTTATCATTTTCTTCGAGAAACGGCAAAAGAAAAGAGAAATCAAAAGAAAATACTCGTTCGCTCTAGAACTCGTAGCCGTCCCCGTAATTTCGCAAAAACTCTCTAACAGCTCTAAGCCTGAGAAAATAAGAGGAAAAAACGGCGTTTCTTAGCGGGTCGCAAAACAAATCACGATAAAACAAGATCCCGCAATCATCGCTTAATCAATCGCGGAAGAAATCAATCAAGGCTGCCGACACAGTCGTCACGGTAATAAACGCGAGAAATGCGAATCATTCACGTCTCGATTCCCTCGATCGTCGTTCGATCATTCCATCCCGTCCTTCTCTTAGATTAAAATTCGCGCTACGCTCAACTCATCGACACTTGATCGCCACGCGATCATGTTCTGCCTCGTTAATGCGATCGGACGTGCGTTCGATATTTTAGGAGCGAGGGAAAATACGAGCCTAAATACTCGAGATACTTCTAATCAGCTAATCTCCAGTCGACCGCCTACGTCTCGTGCATCTTTCCATCCTTCCTTCAATACGATATCTCGATATTCCCCCTTCGAATACGTCAAATCGGATAATCGTCAACTGCGAAAGGAAAGATACGAAGAATTTCCGCCCAATCATTCGAAATGAGAAGCTTATAAATAATTCTCTTTCGATTATTCTTGTAAGATACGATCTTATTCCATGTTACTTCTATAGTTCATTTCAATGATTCTTCTACGTGCATTCGATACAAGTTAGGGAAAATGTAAAGAGACTGTAGGATTTTTGACTAGCGATCCGAATTTGAGTGTCCACTTTGCTTTTTTCTATGATTCTTGGAAAGTATCGAATCACAAAAATTGTGCAATTCTACAATTTCACTTGTGTAAGAGTTGAAAGACTTGATATTCCATGACGTTCTCTTGCTCGTTCTCTGTTGACCGCTCGAGAGATGTTGGAATCTAGTTAGTCTTCTATCGATTAGAACGAATGTTCGGCCTGATGTGTGCACTCGCGCACTAAGTCATTCTCCTCTCGTCCGGGCGAATAAACGATCGAGCCGAGACGAAAAAAATTATCAAAGTATCCGGGGGCCGATTTCTCGAGATACACGCGACGTCCTTTACCGCTCCGGCTAATCGCGCTCTCGGTGTGGCGCTCCCTCGAAAGGAGTAGCTAAGACTGCGAACAACGTGCTACCCATATTAATAAACTAGTTTTTGTCCCGGTCGAAACTGGTTCCCTAGAATCGGCGTTCAAACTGCCGGAACCTCTCGCGTAGCCTCTCTCGCTGGTAGCAATAGTGGTAGTGTTAGTGTCATCGCCAAAGGTATGCCTGGGAGGAACGGTATGATGGTAATTATTGGTAATTAGATGCGACATGGGTGACCGAGGGTGACGTTGCGCGCATTCGTTTGCATCCGATTAATATCTCCTCTCGTTTTATACTTCCGTTGCTTCTCAGCTTGTCGTGTAACGTTACCTCGCGCGATAAACATTGATGAATAATCTCGCTGATATCTCGGAATAGACTCGTTACAGACGATTTTTAAAAAAAATTTTTAAAACTCTTTCAAATATTTATGAAATATTCTTCCCTTTGTCGCGAAACGCGCAACGCGCAGATGTAATAAATGAATTTGAAAGAGGAGAAGAGCGAGTGGAAAATCGCGTCATCATCGTCATCGTCATCGTCATAATCTCTGAGTGGCGAACAATGGCTATTAATCAAGCCGATTTTCTCGGATGCGTTGCTCGCTGTTGGGAAGCTGCCAGAAGAAGGAGGAGCGCCGCGAAGGTGGTGCGATGGCCAGCCGGGAGAATCGTGACCCACGATTGCTGG